GCCTCTGGCTCGGCCGAGGGGGCGGCCCGCGCGTGTGGCCCAGGCCCGCCCCCGCCTTTCCCTGAGATCCGACGCTGCCAGGCAATTGCAACATCGCAAAGCATCACCACTGGAGCCCCGGACCCCATCCTTCTGCGGCACCCTGCGAGCCGGATCGCTCCGCGAGGGCCTCGAGGCCCGACGCCTGGGCGCCCACGCCCGCAGCGAACAACCACCGGCCGGCCGAGGATCTCGGGGCCCGCCGCGCTCATGGGGCCTCGCGGCCGGCGGCCCCCGGGGGCGCGGAGGTGACGGCGCCCCGCGCCAGCGGCGGGCGCGCCCAGCGCGGGGGGCGGCCGCGGGCCATCCATGCAGGCGGCCGCGGGCTGGGCGAGGGGCGCGGCGGGCGGGGCCGCGGGGGGCCCGCAGCAGGCCGGGGGGCAGGTGCGCCGTGGGCGCGCGGCCGCCACGGCCGCCGGGGCCCTCGTGGTGCTGGCGGGCGGCAGGCTGGGGCTGCAGAGGTTCTCTAGAGAGTGCAGTGGGGCACGTGCCCCTGCAGGGAGAGTATTCCAAAGCAGTGACAATAAATAGTCAGGGTACGTTTTTTTTCAAAACATGTTTTGGCTAGGTTTGGTCACTTTGGGGCTATTATTTTTCAAAACATTTCGTGCAACATCCGCCTGTAGGAGGACATGCCCGACCTAATTCTACGGTGGGAACCCATGCCAAGAGACACCCTGCTTGCCTCCAGGGTGCCTGTTTCTCCGTCGCCGATGCACTGCCGACGTCACCGATGCATCGATGCATCGCCGAGGGCAGAAGTGTCGCGGGCGGCCAAGAAGGGGTGATGACTAAGGGGGGGGTGGATCAATCATGGCGGGGGGCAAGATATCTCCTCGGACTTCATGGCGCCTCTTATTTCGATACGTTCCCAGCCCCTCCCCCTTGGCCGCGCACATGCCACTGGCCATGATTTGCACCCCCCCCTGTTGGACGCCCCTCTCTTGGACGCCCAGGCCGCCCAGATGAGGTCGGAGCAGATGGGGTCGGAGGATCGCGCCGCATCGCCGATGCATCGCCGATGCGGCTCGATGTGGAGACCGTGCTTCTCCGCGCCGACGTCGCCGATGCACCGCCGACGTCGCCGATGCACCGCCGAAGGCATCGCCGATGCACCGTCGATGCGTCGGTGACGCGGCGCGACCCTCCAACCCCATCGGCTCGGACCCCACGTGGCAAGGCCTCCAGAGGTGCCTGGCCGACTGGCGCTCGGTGGCGCGGGCCCAGCGGCTGCTGCGGCGGCAGGAGCCGTGGGCGGCCCGGCCGGCGCCCGGAGCACGGCACCCCCTGCCGTGGCGCCCCCCTCGCCTCGCCCCACGATGAAGGTATCGGGGGTGGACAGAACCCCCAACAGTGACACGTCGATGAGTGAGTTGTCCGTTTTCGGTTCTCGAGATGGCTCCGTGGCCGTTATTTTCCAGGCTTGCGCCCGCCAGGTTTGGGCCCGAAGGTCGTTTTCACTAAACCACGTTTTACTACAGGGAGGTCTGTCCATCCCCGAATGTATGCGGCCAGAGTCGAAGACGAGAAAACTGCACACACACACACATAAACTTTGGGCGCTCCGCGCGGACTTCTTGGATCCGCGCTGGGCCCCCCCTGGCGGCGCCTCCGGCGCCGCCTCGGGCGCGCCCCGCGCGCCAGGGAGGGGGGTCCAGCGCGGATCCGAGAGATCCGCGTGGAGCGCCAAAAGTTTGTTTATGCAGTTTTTTTCTTCAGAGGGAAGCTTGGAAGACGAGGGCTTGGCATTGCTCGGACGTGTGCATCCTTCCTTCGGCGAGGACCATCGAGGAGCATCCTTGACCATTTGGCGAAAACGCCACGCACGAAACCGAAAAAAACACGGGGAATGGACGTCCGAGCGATGGCGAGAGGGTGACGTCACGGAGGGAGATGGTCTGCCAGGGGTCGGCACGGCCGCGCCCGAAGGAGGAGCTGCAGCAGCGCCGCCATCGCGCCGCCGCGGGCGCCGCCGGGGCAGGCGTGCTGCTGGCGCGCGCGTGCGCGCGGCTGACGCTGGCGCGGGCGCTCGCAGGCCTGAGGTTCGCGGTCGCCCTGGCTCGCCAGCAGCGCAGGGCCGGCAGCATTCGCCAGGAGCTCGAGCAGGACTCCGCCGCGGCCAGGGCCGAGAGGCTCGAGGTAGTGCGCAGGGTCTCCAGGCTGATGGTCCCGCTGGGCCGGGAGCCCCGCGACGCGGCCCTGCGGCGGCTCTTCGAGCTGTGGGCCAGCTCGCTCCGCCGCGCCTTCTGTGCCGCGCGCGTGGAGGCCCTCGAGTTGCGCTGTCAGGCCTGATGGGCAAGTTTTCCACCACCGCTGCCATCTGTAGGTCCGGGGAGGAGGGAGGATGAGGAGGTCCTCCTCCTTCTCGTCCTCCTCCTCCTCCTTCTCCTCCTCCTCCTCCTCCTCCTCCTCCTCCTCCTCCCTCTCCTACGCATGGTAGTGGTGGTGGAAACATGGGCCCCTCAAGGCCGAGGCTGCGGAGGCAGCGGCGCTGAGCCCGGGCGGCGGGGGCGCTGGGCTGGAGGCTCCGGGGCAACATCAGGGACGGGGGCTGCATCGGAGGCTGGAGGTTTCTGGATGCCTTCGTCGGCCCTCGGCGATCTTCCAGCCTCGGGGCGCTCGCCAGCAGCTGCGCCCCGCCGAGGGCGTTCCGTGGGTGCCCAGTGCGTCCCCGAGGTGCCGCCGGCGCGCCGAGCTATGACCCAAAAGCCAACGACGGGGGCTATAATTAGGCCCTGGCGGGGTGCATCGCCCTCCAGTCGCCCACTTACTTACCGCCGATGGGGGCCCGATGGCCCGCCCCGCCCAGGAACGTGCGGGCTCGCAGTCGGGGGCCACTCGCCGACCTGTCGGCGAAGTGTCGCCGATGCCAGCTTGACTCAGCTCGACGCGTCCCCCCCCTGAGCCGGGCCCCCCTCGTATCGTTGTCCCTGAGAGGAGGTGGGGGACCGGGCGGAGACTGGCCTCGTGGCCGCCATCGCGGCCAACGCCAGTGCAGGGTACGAGGTCGGCGGCCACTCCGCCCTGTGGTCGCAGCTCACCGAGCTGCAGGGGCACATGGTGGGCCTGCAACAGAGACTGGACGGTCGCGCAGGCTGAGGAGAAAAGCGTGTACCGAAGACGCCGGCGTACGGCGAACCACCGCCGAACCCTGCCCTTTGGAAGCGCCTATGTGGCCCGAGCTATTGGGCTACATGTTCCCCCAGCCGTTGTGGAAAGCCTTGCAGGGAGACTTGTGGGAGGAAAAGAAGAGAGGCAGGGGGAGGGTGAGGGGGGGGGTAGGAGGAGGAGAAGCAGGAGGAGGAGGAGGAGGAGGAGGAGGATGAGGAGCAGTAGGAGGAAGAAGAGGATTGGAAGAAGGAGGAGGATGAGGAGGAAGAGGAGGAGGAGGAGAGGAGGAGGAGGAGGAGTAGGAGGAGGAGGAGTTGGAGGAGGACCAGGACCAGGAGGAGGAGCAGGAGATGAATGAAGATGATTAGTGTAAGCTCAAGACGCATCAACGATGTTGCAGTAAACCCTGCCTCCAAGTTCCCGCTTCTGTCCCGCCCGCCAGAACGGCGTCCCCGGTGGTTGGGACATAGTTTCCACCATCTTGTCCCATGACTGGATTAAGTTTACATTCAATGTCCTGCCCGTCGTCATCGTCGGAGGGGGAGGAGGGGGAGGAGGAGGAGGATGGGAAGACGAGGAGGAGGAGGAGGAGGAGGAGGAGGAGGAGGAGGAGAGGAGGAGGAGGAGGAGTAGGAGAAGGACGAGGAGGAGGAGGAGGAGGAGGAAAAGGAGGAGGAGGAGGCGGAGAGGATGATGATGATGATGATGATGATGATGATGATGATGATGATGATGATGATGATGAGGATGAGGATGAGGATGAGGATGAGGATGAGGATGAGGATGATGATTAGGATGAGGATGAGGATGAGCATGATGGGTGATGATTACGATGCTGATGCTGCTGCTGATGATTATGATGATGACGATGATGATGATGATGCTGCTGATGATCATGACGATGGTGATGATGATGATGATGATGATGATGATGATGAGGATGATAACGATGGTGATGATGACGGTGCTGGTGATGATGCTGATGATGCTGTTGATGTTGTTGGCGGTGGTGGTGGTGGTGGTGATGGTGCTGTCGATGATGATGGTGGTGGTGATGATGGTGCTGATTATACTGATGCTGATTATGCAGATGCTGCTGATTATGCTGATGAGGTCGATGATGATGCTGATGATCTTGATGATGACACTGCTGATGATCATGATGGTGATGATGCTGCTGATGCTGATGATGATGATATTGATCAAGATGATGCTGCTGATGCTGACGATGATGATGGTGACGATGATGATGACGATGATGACGATGACGATGATGATAATGATGATGATGATGATGATGATGATGATGATGATGATGATGCTGCTGATGATGATGATGCTGATGATGATGCTTATGATGATGCTGATGATGTTGTTCATGATGGTGATGGTGATGGTGATGGTGATCATGATGCTGATGATGCTGACGATGCTGATTATGATGATGCTGCTGCTGATGATGATGCTGATGATGCTGCTGATGATGAAGATGGTGATGATGATGATGATGATGATGCTGATGATGATGATGATGATGCTGATGATGATGATGATGATGCTGATGATGATGATGATGATGATGATGATGATGATGATGATGATGATGCTGATGCTGATGTTGAGATGATGATGAGGAGGAGGGAGGACGGGGAGGAGGAGGAGGAAGAGGAGGAGGAGGAGGAGGAAGAAGGAGGAGGAGGAAGAGGAGAAGGAGGGGTAGGAGGAGGAGGAAGAAGAGGAGGAGGATGAGGAGGAGGAGGAGAGGAGGAACAGGAGGAGGAGGAGGAGGAGGAGGAGAAGGAGAGGAGGAGGAGGAGGAGGAATGAAGAGAGGAGGAGGATGAGGATTTGAGGAGGAGGAGGAGGAGGAAGATGAGGATTTGGAGGAGGAGCAGGAGGAGGAGGAGGAGGAGGAGGAGGAGGATGGGGGGGGAGGGGAGGAGGAGAGGAGGAGGAGGAGGAGGAGGAGGAGGAGGAGGAGGAGGAGGACCAGTGTAAACCCAAGAGTCACCAATGATGTTGGAATAAACCCTCCCCCCCAAGCTCCCTCTGCAAAGGCTCCTACAACGGTTCATTTCCACAGAGGGACCTGCCTCGTTGGAAGACAACTTTTTGACGACCCTGAAGCATGCCAAAACATGATTCTCGGTATTCCAACGCCATGGACAAACTTGACTGTTACTTCTTGACGACCCTGAGTCGTGCCAGAACGCCATTTCTGGGATTTCGACACCGCGAATCATTATAACTGTTGCGCCCTCATAATCGCGAATCCTTCCAAAAACACCATTCCTGGTACGTCGATCGTGGGAATCCGTGAAACTCTTGTAAATTTGGAAGACGACTGTGCACGGCGCTGAGGCGAGAGCCACATAGTGAAAAGGAGCTGCCCTGAATCCGTGAAGCTCTTGCAAATTTTGAAAACGAGTGTGCGCGTCGCTACAGCCAGAGCCATCTTTTGAAAACCACCCGCCCTCAATCCGAGAGGCTCTTTGCACATTTTGAAAACGAGTGTGCGCGGCGCGAAGGCGAGAGTCACATTTTGAGAATGAACCACCTTCAATCCGTGTAACTTTTGCAGATTTTGAAAACGAGTGTGCACGACGCTAAGGCAAGAGCCACATTCTGAAAACGACCCGCCCTCAATCCGTGAAGCTCTCCGTAACATTTGAAAACGAATGACATTTGAAAACGAATGTGCGCGACGTCAAGGCGAGAGCCACATTTTGAAAACCACCCGCCCTCCATTTGTGAAGCTGTTGTCGATGTTTAAGCTTCCGGGTCGTCATACATGGTGAGGAAGTCTGAGGCGAAACGCCCGGCCCGCCCGAAACATTGGCCTCGGGGTGCGACAGGGAGAAGTTGTTGATAAGGAGAAGGAGTGGAGGTGGAGGAGGAGGAGGAGGAGGAGGAGGAGGAGGAGGAGGGAGGAAGAGGAGGAGGAGGAGGAGGAGGAGGAGGAGGAGAGGAGGAGGAGGAGGAGGAGGAGGAGGAGGAGGAGGAGGCGGAGGAGGAGGAGGAGGAGAGGAGGAGGAGGAGGAGGAGGAGGCGGAGGAGGAGGCGGAGGAGGAGGAGGAGGAGGAGGAGGAGGAGGGAGGGAGGAGGAGGAGGAGAGGAGGAGGAGGAGGAGGAGGAGGAGGAGGAGGAGGAGGAGGGAGGAGGAGGAGGAGGAGGGGAGAGAGAGGAGGAGGAGGGGGAGGGGGAAAGGAGGTGGAGGGCCAAAATCATTGAAATCGCGAGTTCACTGATCTCGCCCAGGGGGGGGTGCAGTTCGAAATCCCCGCTTCCTTGGGCAGGGGGTGGGGCGGTAGAGGGGTTCTCCGGTTCTCCAGGGGTGCTCAATGTGATGGGGTGGGGAGGTTCCCAGCTCCACCGTGTCAAGGTGTTTGTTCCAGGCAAGCGTCCACGAAACGCGTTCGTTCGAAGTTCGGTGACCTGGTGGAAACCAGAAGGCTTGCTCTGTAGAACGTCGGCGTTTCTGGCTCGGCCTCTCTGTGGCTCACCAGTGGGCCGAGTGTATCCTGTATTGGGTTGCCACAGAACGCTGTTGTGCGACAGGCTACGTCACCCGCAGGGGCCCGACGAGAACAGTTTTCCGCGCTTCGTGGTCTGGGCTGCTGAGTTGCCCGTCCCCAGGGGGCCACGCGAAGCTAGAAGTCAGGTGGTCTAGTGAGTGACAAGGGTTGTGGGTCGCGAGCCCTTGCCTCCCGTGCTGTGTGCCTCTTCCTCCATCTCATCCTCCTCTTCCAAGTGCGTTGTGGTAGCGTGCGATTTCTATCGCATGCTGCATGCCAATCTGGAGAGAGGCACACGCACATATACTACGCCCGACGATCATCTCGAAACGGCCCGCGCTGCCCGAATTGCGGCTGAGCCCACTTTTCTCCACGGCACGGCGGTTCGGCGACAAAGTGATGCTTGGAGAGGCTCTTGTTCGGGGCTGCACCTCATCCTCCCCTTCCTCCTGCCAGCTCTCCTGGCCTTCCCCCGGATCCCTCCTCCCGCCCCCCCCCCTGCAGAAGGGATGGAGTGTCTTGGCATCGCTCGGACGTGTGCATTTTTCATTCGGCGAGGACCATCGAGGAGCATCCTTGGTCATTTGACGAAAAAAACCACGCACGAAACCGACAAAAACAAAGGGCATGGACGTCCGAGCGATGGCCAGGTGTGCAGCCAGTTGGGCAGCCAGTGGGGGGGCTGGGCGGGCTCTCCGGGGGGGGAGCTTCGACCCGCGGTCGCCCGCTCATCGCCGATCATCGCAGGCTTAGAGGTTGACACCAGCACCAAGATCGGCGGCGTGCCTCCACCGAGGGAAGACGATCCCGATCTCGGCGATGGTGGTGATATTCTGGCTTCCAGGGTGACCGAAATTATTTTACCGCCAACACCGAAGTCCAGGATCATCTTCCCCGTGTGGAGGCAGCCCCCTGTGTTGGTGCTGGTGCCAGTTTCCAGCCTTCCAAGATCAGGTGGTGTGCATGGATGTTTCATCGTGCCTGGGAGCCTCGCTCGGACGTGGCCACTGCTTACCGAGGGAGGAGGAGGAGGAGGAGGAGGAGGAGGAGGAGGAGGAGGAGGAGGAGGAGGAGGAGGAGGAGGAGGAGGAGGAGGAGGAGGAGGAGGAGGAGGAGGAGGAGGAGGAGGAGGAGGACACGCGCGCATCGCGGGGCAGGTTGCGCGCGAAAGTGGATGTTTCCTCGTGCCCGGGAGCCTGCCGTGGCCACCGCTTACCCGCGGCGATGCGCCGGCGATGCGCCGGCGACGCCTCGCCGGTCTCCAGGTCGACTGTCCCCCCCCTTTATCTCCCTTGCCGCCCTTGTCGGGGCCGACGTCGGCCTCCTCCTCCTCCTCGTCCTCGTCCTTGTCCTCCTCGTGCTCGCCCTCGTCCTCCTCGTCCTCCTCCTTCTCCTCTTCCTCCTTCTCCTCCTCCTCCTCGTCCTCCCTCCTCCTCGTCCTTCCTCTCATCCTCCCACGTCCCTCCTCCTCCTCCCCTCCTCCTCCTCCTCCCCTCCTCCTCCTCTCCCCTCCTCCTTCCTCCTCCTCCTCCCTCCTCCTCCTCCTCTCCTCCTCCTCATCCTCTCCACTCCTCACCCTCTCCTCCTCCTCCCTCTCGTTCCTCCCCCACTGCCTCGTCCCCCTGCTCCACGCTGCCTCAGCTGCGCAAGAGACAGGCGAGGGGCACTCCTTGTCGTGGCCGCCCTCCTCCTCTCCCCCTCCTCTTCGTCCTCCTCCTCCTCCTCCTCTTCTTGCTCCTCATCCTCTTTTCCCCCTCCTTTTCCTCCTCCTCCTCCTCCTCCTCCTCCTCCTCCTCCTCCTCCCCTTGCTTCACGCGTTCTCAGCTGCGCGTTGTAAGAGACAGGCGGAGGGGATGCAGGCTTGCCTCGCCGAGTGGATGCGGTCCCCTCGGGAGTGGCGCGGGAGCTGGCCGCGCACCGTGCGCCGCGGCCCAGGTCGGCGCGCTGCCCTGCTTCGGGGCCAGGGCGGCGCTGCGAGGGCACGTTCGCGAAATCGGGAGGAGGAGGAGGAGGAGGAGGAGGAGGAGGAGGAGGAGGAGGAGGAGGAGGAGGAGGAGGAGGAGGAGGAGGACACGCGCGCATCGCGGGGCAGGTTGCGCGCAAAATCGGGCGGCCCGGGTGCTGTGACTTTGTATTTAGGTTTTTATACCGCAAGGGCTTCGCCCCATGCCGCCGGCCCTCTGTCGCGGATAGTGGGAGGTGCAAGAGCTAATTCATGAGGTCTGGGCGCCGCCGTGAAGCAGTGTCGGGACCCGTTCGTTTTTCGACCCTGACCCTACGGATCTGCGTCACGGGTGCCACCGAATTTCAGAAATGTGGCAAATCCCTTCTGTTTTTGGACCCTGACCCTACCGCCGAATTTCAGAAATGCAGCACATCCTTTGTGTTTTTGGACCCTGACCCTGCCGATCTGCGTGAGGGGTGCCACCGAATGTCAGAAATGTGGCAAATCCCATTTGTTTTTGGACCCTGACCCCGCCGATCTGCGTGAGGGGTGTCAGCGAATTTCAGACATGTGGCAAATCCTTTGTGTTTTTGCACCCTGACCCCGCCGATCTGCGTGAGTGGTGCCAGCAAATTTCAGAAATGAGGCAAATCCCATGTGTTTTGGACCCTGACCCCGCCGATCTGCGTGAGGGGTGCCAGCAAATTTCAGAAATGTGGCAAATCCCATGTGTTGTTGGACCCTGACCCCGCCGATCTGAGTGAGGGGTGCAAGCGAATTTCAGAAATGTGGCAAATCCTTTGTTTTTGGACCCTGACCCCGCCGATCTGCGTGAGGGGCGTGAATTTTTACCCACCCCAGCAATTCAGAGCACACGCTCAGGGCGTGGTAAACATGCTCGTTTTGGGCCTCCCCCCCTCGCGCGGTCCATCAACAAGGAACAGTAAGCAGCAAGAAGCAGAACTGTAACAGTGGAAACTGGAAGCTGCAACTGGTACAGGAAACTGCGAACCTTCGCCCTACAGCCTGGTGGCCCCACAAGGGGGCCGGCGGATTTGTGCTGTTGCTTTTTGTTTTCGCCCGTGTCATGTCTACAGAAAACCAGACTTCTCCCCGCCGTTGTGACAGGAGGAGCTGGACGAGGCGACCTGCCGGTGGGACAGCTCTCGCCGCCTCGGCTCGGGCCGTTACGGCGCGGTCTACAAGGGCCAGCTCCGCGACGGCGCCAAGGTCGCGATCAAGGCGCGCCCTCGGGAGCCGGTAAGTCTCCCCCCCCACCCCAACGTTTTGGTGCACGATTCCGAAGTGGAGGACAAGGGTACATTCAGTTAGAGCCCCGAATAATCAGGGGCCTCGGCGCCAGCGACATTTTCGTTGTACAGTGGGACGCGCATCAAGAAGCCATCTGCTTTTTGTCATGGCGACCTGGGTTTCTTCTCTCCGCGCGCTGCGCGGTGACTTCTCGCGGCCGTTGAAGAAGCTGCTGCGTTCAGGGTGCTCTGAGTCCCTCCCCGTGTGCATCTCGCGCGTGGGTTTTCAGGGCTGGGCTTCTGACGAGGGTTTCCTGCGTTCAGGGTGCTCTGGATCTCCCCCCCCGTGGGCATCACTCGCGCGCGGGTTTTCAGTGTTTGGTTTCTGGAGATGGTTTCCTGCGGCCGCGTCCGTACTGTATGGATATATTCACCGCCCACTGGGGTCCCAGGATGTCGCTTCCCCAGGCGGTGGATCGTCCAGGCCTCCCAGATGGGGTCGGAGCAGATGGGGTCGGAGGGTCGCTCCGCATCGACGATGCATCGGCGAGGCGGCTCGATGTGGAGTCCGATTTTCCCCATGCCGACTCATCGCCGATGCATCGCCGACGTCGCCGATGCATCGCCGACGAGTCGGGGATGCATCAGCGATGCGGCGCGACCCTCCGACCCCATCTACGGTCGGACCGGGGTATAAGATCGAGGTCGGTTTGCGGAGGGTACCCCGAGGTTCTTCGGGCCTCTTGGATGCTCATGTGTGTGTTGGGTCGGCGGAGGGCCTCGTCTTATTGAGGGATGCGCCTCTGGCCCAGCTCCGACTGCACTCGGACCCCGTCCAGGAGGCCTCCGAGGACGTCGGCTGTTCCGGCGGCGGGTGCTGACAGACCCCCGCCTCTCTGGGGAGCGGCGGGGCGTGGCAGAGAGAGGGCCGGCGCGCACCGGGCCCCGGGCGGGGACTGCCGGCAGGCCATTGACCTGGCGGCGCTGCTGCGGAACGGCGAGCGCCCCGAGGACCCCCCGCGCCACTGGGCTGCCCTGCTGCGCCCGTGCTGAGACGCAGCACGAGCAGGCGGACCGAGGTCCGAGATCGAGGTCGGTTCGGGGAGGGTGCCCCATGGTTCTTCGTGCTTGTCGGGTGTGCTTGTGCATCCTGCGGGAGGGCCCCTTCGGATGTCCTTCAGGTTGGGCCGGAGGAGGGTCGCATGTTCTCGAAGGCTGTTCGTATGTCCTAGGTCCGGTACCTGCCCTGATGCTTCCGTGTTGGAGCGCAGCACGCACCGTGTTCAGAGCGTCGGTGTTGACACGCGGCGTGTTTGCTCGGATCGTGCTGGTCCACGTTCTAGCGAACGCATCGCGCCAGTCTTGTGTGTTTCGGTCTACGAGTTGCGCTCCGTGTCAACACGCTACGGGTTGCGTGCTGCGTATCGGGGCAGCTAAGCCCCCCCCCCCAGCCAGGGCCCGTTTCGATCTGATCGATCCGATTCGATGTCGATTCCGGCCAGCCCGATCCGATCCGATTCTGGCCCGTCCCGATGCCTGCGCGGCGCTGCTGTGCGTCCCGGCGCAGCCGCTCTGGCTCGATGTCGCCTCCGTGAGGATGCGGTCCGAGCCGATGCATATCTCGATTCGACCCGATTTGCCGATTCGAGGCTGACGCATCTTGCCCCGTCTCGTGCTCGTCTAGGGGGCCACACGCGAACCCTACCCCTACCCCCCACGATTTCTGAGGGGGAGGGTGGGGTTCACTTCGCTCGGGTGCTCCCAGACGAAGTGAACCCCACCCTCCTCTCAGAAATCGTGGGGGGGTAGGGGTAGGGTTCGCGTGTGGCCCCCTAATCTTGCCCCGTCTCGTGCTGGTCACCGCCGCCGTCGCTCGAAGCACACAGAGCGAGTGGCATAAGCATACAGTTTTTCTCCGGAGCCCTGCGCGGATTCCTCGCAGCGGCGCCGGGCCCCCTTGGGCGGCGCCCGCTGGCGCCTCCCGCGGGCTCGCCCTGCGCGCCAGGGAGGGTTTTTTCCAGCGCGGGCCCAAGAAATCCGCGTGGATCTTCAAGACATTATTACCAGCCTCGAACTTATCCCTACCCCTAAGACTGACACGCCAAAAGGCGATGACAATCTCAGGGATGCGCCCTCAAAAAACAAGGGAATCCCTAAGATTGGCATCGTGATGAGGAGATGCCCAGCATAGGGATAGGGATATGTTCCAGGCTGGTAACATTACGTTTCTGCAGCCTTTTGCTCCAGTCGTCGGCGTCGTCGTGGTCGTCGTCGTGGCCGTCGTCGTGGTGGTGGTGGTGGTGGTCGTCGTCGTCGTCGTCATTGCCGCCTCTTGCGCCCCTCCCGGAGGATTGCGGCTTCGAGCGGGAGGCGCGGGTCGGGGCGACGGCAGCGGGGGGGGGGGACAGTGAGCTGTCAAGGCGTGGACAAGGATTTGCGGTCAGGAACTTTGGCTCAGCGTGTCGCTCCGTCGGTTTTGGCCCACCTCGCTTCTGCGCGACACGCTACCTACGTCCCAGTCCCCAAGCGCCAATGTACAGAGCTTTTTCCAGCCTCCTGCCCCGCGGTGCGGAGCGACACGCCGCCGCGACACGCTAAGCAACAGTTTCCGACCGTGATCAGATTTTTCCCGAACGTCGCCTACCCAAACGGGTCATCGGCAAATGTGTCATCGATCTCTGCCTCCATCCATTTTCAGTCCTCGGCCCCCCACGTTGCATGAATGAACGGGGGGGGCGATTTCATTGTTTCAGTTTTTCCAAATCGTGCTTCTGCTGCAGCGTTAGCTTCGTTTCCGCACTTTCACTTCTTCCAAATCGTGCTCCCACTGCAGCGCTTGTCTCATTTCCGCGTTTTCGGTCCTTCGAAATCGTGCTCCCGCTGCAGCGCTGATCTCATTTTGCGCTTCCCGCTTTCCAAACCGTCCATTTGAATTTCCCGTCCTGTGTCATTTCTGGTCCCCCTTTGACCTTGGTGTCGAAATAAGTCGCGTTCTCGACGCGATGCCGTGTTATACCGCGCTGTACCACGCATCGCGCACTCTCCCGGGATCATTGCCTTGCTCGACATGCGACTGTGCGAATAGAGAGGATATCTACGCCATGGTAAGGGATGGGAGGGAGGGGTAAGACGTCAGATATGACGCTTGCACATTTAGCTTGCCCCTTTTCCTTTCTCCCCTCTCTGCCTCTTCTTGTTGCCCACTCCTATTTCTTGTATTCGCGGCAGTTGGAACATATACATTACCAGTGGCGGACTGCTTTTCAAACCCAGCGCTTTTTGAGGGTCGGGGGCGACGTCAGGGTGGCGTGGTGTATACCTATTGTTTCAGTTTCCCGAGGAGCACCGACAATGTATGCACCAGGATCCCGCATACACCAGGGCCCGCTTGCCTGTGCAGGTGTCAGTGCAGGGTCGGAACACGCGTCGGTGTCTAGAATCCGGCTCCCTGCTTTCTATATCCACCCTCACTTTCCTGCCCCTGTCTCTTCCTCTTCTTCGTCTTCTTCTTCTTCTTCGTCTTCTTCTTCTTCTTCGTCGTCTTCTTCGTCTTCTTCTTCTTCGTCCTCTTCTTCTCCGTCTTCTCGCCAGCTTTCCTCGGGCCACCTCGGCCCCTGCCAGTCCTCGGCACCCCCGCTGCTCCGCCCTCGCCCTCCCCGCCCCTCCCCGGCGCCGCCGCGCTGCCCGGCGCTCCTCCTCGCTCCTCGCTCCTCCCGGCCCCGCCGCTGCGCTGGCGCGGCTCCTGCTCCTGCCGCTGCCGCTCCTCCTCCTCCTCCTCCTCCTCCTCCTCCTCCTGCGCCTCCTCCTCCTCCTCCTCCTCCTCCTCCTCCTGCTGCTCTCCTGCTGCTCCTCCTGCGCCTCCTCCTCCTCCCTCCTCTCTCCTCCTCCTCCTCCTCCGGCTCCTCCCTCCTCCTCCTCTCCTCCTCCGCCTCCTCCTCCTCCTCCTCCTCCTCCTCGTGCTCCTCGCGAGCTGCCCTGTGCCCTGGTTGCTGCTCCTCCCTCCCTGTCCTCCAGCCTCGCACCCCGCCTCCTCTCTCCTCTCCTCCTCCGCTCCGCTGCCGGTGCCGCTGCTCCTCTTCGCAGCGTCTCCTCCTCCTCCTCCGGCTCCTCCTCCTCTCCTGCTGCTCCTCCTCCTGCTCCTGCTCCTCCTCCTCCTCCTCCTCCTCCTTCCCCCCCAGCCGCCCTCTACCCCTCCTGTTCGTCCTCGTCCTTCCTGTCGACCTTCCTTCTCATCGACCTTCTCGTCGTCGTCGTCGTCGTCGTCGTCGTCGTCGTCTTCGACGGCAGCCTCTTCGGCCTCCTCCCAATCTTTCCCCTGCCCCTCATCCGCTTTCTCCTCCTCCTCCTCCTCCTCCTCCTCCTCCTCCTCCTCCTCCTCCTCCTCCTCCTCCTCCTCCTCCTCCTCCCCCTCCGCGCACTCGCTGGACCTTTCGCTCTGCTCCGACGCTGAAGGATGCCGATGGGGGCACCTCCGGCCTCCCGCTGCCTTCTCCGCCAGAGCTCCCAGGGGCGAGGAGCGCGGCACGGCAGGGGGCGCCCGCCCGGCAGCGGCTGCGGAGAGAGCGGGGCCTGAGCCGGAGGCTCGCCTCGATATGCCCGTGGCCCGCCATGCCATTCGTGGTGCAGTCGGGGCCCTGAAGAAGGAACCCTTTTTCAGAGCCCCGAATCATCAGGGGTAACTCGGGTCAGGGATAACTCGGGTTCGTTTTTTCGGGAATCCGAACCCGAGTTACCCCGTACCCGAGTTACCCCGGATAACTCGGGCGTCCAGAGCCCCGAATCATCAGAGGTAACTCGGGTCAGGGATAACTCGGGTTTTTTTTTTCGGGAACCCAAACCCGAGTTACCCCAGACCCGAGTTACCCTGGATAACTCGGGCGCTCAACTTTTTGTTGGGGAGGGGCTCCGTGTTCCTTCGTTGTTTTGCAGTTTGCCTCGGGTTTTCCTCAGGTTTTCCATGGGGAGTCGAAGTTCAACTTATGGAAAAATAGGGGCCCCGTTCCTTATTTAGGGTTCCTTAGGTCAACGCCCCGACTGTAGAGCTGGCAGAAAAGAGGCGGGTATAGTTTTAGCTTTTATCATTCCTGTGCCTCGGAGGAGGAAGAGGTACCCATACCTCTACCCCGTGGCCCGTTTTCCCCTTTTTGAGCCTCCTGGGAGGCCCTCGTCGCCACCGCTGGATTCGCCTCGAAAGTCTGGTCAGAACGCACCCCAGGAGAGGTCCGGGGAACAGCGGTATCGGTACCTTGTGCTCTCCCCAATGCCGATCTATCTGGACAGGCCAACGGCTGCAGCAAGAAGGGTACGATGCCTCGACCAGATGCCCATGCGGCTTGTAGTCAGATGATGCTTCGCACAGGCTGCACCGCTGCCTGCAACAGCTCCCCTTGGGGAGGAAATGCTGCAGACAGCCGATATGACCATCCTCGATGACAAGTGCCGGAACTTTCCACTGACATGCGGATTTTTAGAATTGCTTTGGTTCTTTGTGCAACCTCCCAAGGGTACGGGTACTGTGCCCTACCGATTCTGCTGCGCGGATCCCTCGATCGGCATCCGAGACGCCTTCAGGAGGGAAGTTTTCGCCGACGGCTCGTGCCCTAAGGGCGGGTCCGCAGAGTTCCGCGTGGCAGGATGGGCGGTGATTGCGCTCACTGTCGGGGGTGACCTTTCTGCGGCAAGCTGGGGGGCGGTGGGCGACCGGTACCCGCAGACGTCACCAGCAGCAGAGCACGTGGCCGTCCCAGCGGGCATGGAACACTGCCCAGAGGCAGACGCCATCCACTCTGATTTCTTGGAGGTGTTGCAGCTCGCCTCGGTGCCGTGGGCGCAAGTTGTCGCCAGGCACCGCATCGGCGCAGGCTTTCGAGTGAAGGGCAGATCTTGCCCAGCCTGGGATAGAGAACTTACCATCTATAAAGGTCGCGGCGAAAGTAGATGATGACACGCTGGAGCCTCAGACGCGGGAGGGGCACCTGGGTCCTAGCACAGCCATCGTTTGTGGAGCGCCAGACCTGCAGTGAGAACGACGCAACTCTGAAGCAGTACCTGTGCTACGCGGCACATGGGCTGCTACTGTACTCTTGGCAGGTGCCATCAAAAAAGAAAAGGGAAGCCTTCCAAAAGGAAAGGCGAAACCCAGGTTTCCAGACAGGCGCATCGGCGGCCAAAGATGTGTTGCCAGAGCCAACCAAGGAGGGGCTGCGCTTAATCCGCGCGCACCATCCCCCACTCTTGACCCAACCTCGTCCTCCTCCAGCAGCGGCTCAGCCAGCGAACGCGGCCGAAATCCAGGACTCGCGCAGGCGAGGCAATGCTCACCATTTCAGATGGATGCGCAGAAAATGGGCGTGCCAACGGTGCCTCAGACGCACGCTGCGCGATCCCCCCTTCTTGCCTTTTCAGTGCCCAGGACACAACCAGGTGCTCAGCGCACTTGCTGCGGAGCCGAGGGGACACTCGTTTTGGTAACAGCCACGCCCGACGGCATTCTGTTTGCATGACATGTGGTTGTATATCGGACGGAGTGCGGGTGGAGAAGCTCGGTGCGGACTGCAAGGACCGCCCCGCCAGTGACCACACTCGGTCCAGTTTAAGGCGGGTCCGCAACGGACAACACCCGTCCCACAGGCGTGCCATCCCGATTGTACTTGACGAATAAGTGTCTTCGCGTGACTTTTCGTAACTGAATTAGACCACCTCCTAGGACTGCGGCGGCACCAATACAGAGGGGTCCGTAAATCAAGTCATCGCCCCCATTCGTCATCGCTTCAGCGAAGGTTGAGTCGTGGGGAGCAGGCAGCATTTGTATTGTATGCTACATCCCCCCTGCTTGCGACAACAGTGCTTCACAGTCGTGGGGCGGCCGTTCGCTGGGCGGGCCAGGGCGGTAAAAGCCAAGGTTCAGCCTGGAGCCACGAGTGTAAAGTGTGCTTCGCCGTCGTGGGGCGACCCAGGAGCCAGCTGCAGTCCTGCAGGTTTTGGGTTTCAGTATACGGGTCTCGGATGATGCAGGGGCAGACTGTGACCCGAGCTTCGCAGTCGTGGGATCGCCCTTTGCGCGAAACTTGCGCGAACAAGGGGGCAGCCCTTTGGGCAAAAGCTTTATGGACTATGCCATAGTCATAACCTGTAGCTGATACTTGTGCTCCACAGTCGTGGGGCAACCCAGGGGCCAGTTGCAACTTGTGCTTCGCAGTGGTGGGGCAGCCTTGCGGGCGTAAGATAATAGGCGATGCAACAGCCTATAGCTGTTACCCATGCTCCACAGTCGAGGGGCGACTGAAGAGACTGTTGCAACTTCTGTCTAACAGTCGTGGGGCAGCCCTTTGGGCGAAATTGTAAAGTTTGTAGCTGCCACTTGTGCTTCGCAGTAGTGTGTAGCTCTTCATCGGGTACTGCCACCTGTTTCTTCTCTGAGTATCAAGAGGCTGGAGGTGACGTGGACAGGGTTTGGAGGATGAGTGAGTAGGACTTGGAATGGAGAGGAGTTTTTCCGACCCGACGCTGAAGGTCCGCTGTCTTGAGCCAGAGGGCGTCGGTAACCGAAGGCCGTCTGGAAGCGAAGCACGGGGGGACAATTTCGCTAACACTCGTTCGTGCCAACGTCATGCGACTGCTACCCCCGCGCACGTGCTGACAGAACTAAGTCGCACACGGGCTTACAGCAGCACCAGGGCTGTAGGGGTGTGATACACAGAATTTGGGTTACAGCTGGGCCGGCTTTCCTGGCCGAGAAGAGCTTGTATAGATGTTCCTACTCGTGCAAAGCTGCTATCCCACTTAGTGGGAGTGTTAATCCTCAGGGGTCTTTGGTGGCCTCCAGAAGTCAACTCAGGGCTCTCACCAAACGTGGATGGCCACCGAGCAGGCTCATGCGTCATGCGGGTGCTTCACCCTTGGGCGCGCGTGCGGTTAATACATCCTCTGGTTCTCTAGTATGCTGTACATAAGGAGGTCAGGGTCTTCTCCATCGGGTATTGCCATCTGCTGCATCTCTGAGTATCAAGAGGTTGGAAGTGTTGTGGACAGGGTTTGGAGGATGAGTGAATAGGAATTGGAATGGAGAGGACATTTTTGTTTGTCCGACCCTACGCTGAGGGTCCGCTGTCTTGAGTCAGACGGCGTCGGTAACCGAACACCGTTCGGAAGCAAAGGAAGGGGGGACAATTCGGTATCCGTATGTTTCCAGCAGGGTATCTAATTCATCCCGCGGTTTACCCAGCCCGCACTACTTTTGGGGCGGCAGCGTTGGGTCGGGGGGAACGGGCCGAAGAGTAATCCCCCCTTTCCCACCTTGCAGACGCCCTCTAACCCCCCTCGCCCCTCGCCCTACCCCTGGCCAGGCGGGCGGCCCCGGACAATTCACGAACATCTGCTCCCCGGAGAGGGCGTTTGGTTCACGAGTTGTCCGGGGCGTCCCGTCTGGCCAAAGGGAGGCTCGGACTGACGCCGAAGGCGGCCCATTGGCTCCACGGCAGTCTTGCAAGGGGCGAGCTGGGCGGCCTTGCCGTGCCAATGCCGGGGGGGTGATCGAGGCGCTGAGGGCGTGCTTCGCAGTCGGGGGGTGACCCAGGGGCCAGTTGGAACTTGTACTTCACAGTCGTTGGGAAGCCCTATCCCTTTGGGCGGAAGCGGATAGGCCATGTGATAGCCTATAGTTGGTATTTATGCTTCACAACCGTGGGGCGACCCAGTGGCCAGTGGTAACTTGTGCCTCACAGTCGTGTGGCAGCCTTTTGAGCGACAGTTTATAGGCTATGTTATAGCTGATACGTCAAGATGCATACTTCCCAGTTGACAGGGGCAAGGGCCCAGACCCATTTGGATCATACATATTCGAAGGGCACGAGCATGGTAATACTTTATCCGTGTCCTAAGAGACAGCCTTGACAATCCTCCTCCTTGTCCTCCTCCTCCTTCTCCTCCTCCTCCTCCTCTCCTCCTCCTCAACCTCCACGTCCTCCTCCCCCCTCCCCTCTTCCGCCTTCCAGCCACCCCCCCGCCGCTGCAGCCGTTTTGGGCCCCCAGTCCTCCGCGCAGCCCTCTGGGCCGTGCCCCCCCCCAGGAGCCGCAGGTGGCCACACATGCTTCCCGGCCGCGCGGCGCAGCAGCTCCTCGCGCGGCGCCCCGCGGCCTGCGGCGCGGCGGCGCAGCGCTTCAACTCCAAGGCCGCCGGGTCTGGCGCGTGGCTCGCGGGGCCGAGGATCGGGGAGCAGTCTCGAGCGCTCTCTGGCTCCTCTCCGCCGGGTGTTGCTAGAAGTGCCCCTGGTCCAAGGTGCCCCCAGGATTTCCGAGGTGGCCCCCATGGCCCACAGAACACCCCTCACGAGGCCCAGGGGGCCCCAGGAGCTCCTTAGGCCAGGGGACCTTTAGGGGCACCTTGGGGGGGCACCTTGGGCCAGGGCACCTTTAGCAACCTCCGACTCCGAGGCGGGGATTTATACATGACCACGGCCTGGGGGATCCATTCTCGGAGACCTCGGCGGGTGGTGGATATGGATATATATATATATATATATATATATATATATATTCGGGCCCCCGGGGCCAAACTATATCCATATCCACCGCCCGCTTGGGCACCAGGACGCCGGTTCCCAGGCGGTGGATATGGATAAATCCCCGCCTCGCATCCTCGCTCCTGTGTCCCCCTTCTCTGTTCCTTGCCGTGGCGGCCCGTGCCGGCCCGCTTTTCCGTGCCGGCCCGTGCCGTGGTCCGAAGAAGAGCGGCGGCGGCCAATTCGCTCATGCCCATGATATCGGTCTCAGCTCGGCATCACCCCAACATACTAATACTATGTGTGCGTCGCCCCCTCCAGGGGCGATGCGCGCACCGAGAAATCTTATAGTATATGCGTCGTGCGCGCTTTCTGGCCACACCGCTCGGGAAACGATATACTACAAGATGGGTGTACTATATGTTCGGGTCGGGCGCGCGCCTCCAAGGAGGACATATTGTATTAGTATGTCTCTGTGCGTCCCATCATCAGTAGTGTGCGTCAAGCCACAGCTGCAGTGGTGAGCATCTCATGATAGAGGGGAAGAAGCAGCATCACAGGGGCCATGACCAAGGTTCGGCAGCCTGGGGGGGAAGTGAGAGGGGGCGGGCCTTCTCCGAAGGGTCGGAAGTCCCCCGGCCTTCGAGAAGTTTCCCAGGCCTTACCCGAAGACGCAGGCAGGTCCTCGGAAGGTTGGAGCGCTTCTGAGAAGCCCCGCCGCCCTCTGAGAAGGCCTTCTCCTTCTCACCTCCCCCCGTCGCTCGCCGCCGAACCATGACCAAGATGTCGCGGGATCCTGTCGATGCCGAGCTTGGTCGTGGTCCATGTCGGCCGTGTCGATCTCGCGAGGATTATCCATGAGCTGACGCTGATAAAGATCGGCGCTGACCAAGATCGGTACGACCGTTTCGCGTTCAGTCTTGGTCGTGGTCCCTGTTTTTCCCCCTCCAAGCAGGCAGTCATGTAACGCATGAACTTTCGGTCGGAAGAAGTAGGTAGGGAGGACGGAAAAGGTGAAGCCACTCGAATATTGAAGTAGGAAGGCGCTTAAAATATATTAGAATCTGGGACTCCCAAAATTCCTACTTTCAACGACCGATGGGTATGTTTATGTCAGTGCTTGCTCCCCCGGAGGAAGCTGGAGACCGAGCTCGTGCACGCGGCCGTGAGTCCGGAGCGCACCAGTCTGAAGCATATCCCCACTATTGCGATTGGCATCGCCTTGTCTCGGGGCTGGTCATGGACGTTGCATCTCCGTCGGGGGCCTATTTCTGGTCCTGTCGATGGCAGTCTTCTCTTATATACTCCGACGTGGGTTCGATGCGGATTCGATGTGAATTCGGATTCGGTGCGCTCGGAATGGATTTGATGGACACCTGGCGCGACGGGGCAGACGAGATCCCCCGAAGATGTAGCATTAGATCTCAAGATTCTTGAGATCTTAGAGCGCGTCCCGAAGAGGTTGCCCTCGCCTTATGGTGTGCCAATCTCGGGGATAGGGATGAGCTCGAGGCTGGTTAGGAACCTGCTTCTGGCGCGGTGCTGACGCCGCTGTTCCTGTCCACCACCTTCGTGCAGGAGTCGGTGGACAAGTACCTTGCCAAGGTGGGAATCGGTGGGCGCGCCTCGGGGGGGAACTGAGAGGGAGCAGGCCTTCCCAGAAGGCGGCGGGGCGTCTCGGAAGCTTCCGTGCCCTGCGCGAAGCCTTTTTGTGAGCCCTCTCCGAGACCGCAGACGGCTTCTCCGAGGGCGCGATGGCTTCTGAGAAGCCCCGCAGCCTTCTGAAAAGACCTGCCCCCGCTCACTTCCCCCTGAGCTCGGCTGTCGAGAGGAAAACCTATTCATCGAGGATAAAAAGAACGACGTAGCCTCACTGAGGTCCCCATCTCTGCGTCGGGGATACGAGAGTTTGGGCGGTTTGGTTGGATACGTCCGCAGAAAAACAAAAGACCCCTCATCCCTAATGCTGTTGGCCCTCCTAATAATTTAGGTTCCCTCCCAAAGGGTTCGGGGTCCTGTTCCTGCTAATCGTACACGGCGCAAACATACGCTCTCGGAGCCCCTCGCGGATCTCCTTCTCGGATCGGCTCGCCGCTGGGCTCCCCACGCCAGGGGAGGGGGGGGGTCCAGCGCAGATTGATGGGCAAATTGTCCATCACCGCCATCAGTAGGAGGGGGAGGGGGTCCTCCTCCTCCTCTTTCTCCTCCTCCTCCTCCTCCTCCTCCTCCTCGTCCTCCTCCCCCCCTCCAACTTATGGTGGTGGTGGTCGTGGTGGTGGAAATCAGGCCCATCACAGATCTCTCCGAGAGCTCCGCGCGAAGCTCCGACAGCTCATGTGTTCTCATGTCTTTGACGGTGGGGGCGTCCGTTCAGGAAGGTGCGCCCGGGAGGCTGCGGGCCCTGGAGGATTCCTCATCCGACGAGGGCGGCGGTGATGCCCATGGCCGATCTCCGCGGTTGGAGTTCCATCGGCTTCCAGTCCCTGGGTTCCTTATCTGAGGGTTCTTTGTCTCACCGCCCACCAAACCACCCCAACCCGACCCGAAGGCCCCCATTTGCCCTCCCCCTCCCGAACCCGAAACTTGGGCCTTCGGGTTCGGCTGGGGTGGTCTGGTAGGCGGTCATTGTCCAATGCCCCCACCGCATTCGTTCTTCTATAAGGGCTACAGCTACTCCCGCACCAACAACCCGACGGTAAGCGTGTTGGAGGCGAAGCTGGCGCAGATCGAAGGAGGCGCGGGCGCCAGCGCCTTCGGCACAGGCATGGCGGCCACCACCAGTGCCATCTGCGCCACCATGAAGACCGGGGACCACTGCGTGATCACCGATTGCTCGTACGGTGGGACTAATCGTTCCTGTCGGGAGTTCTTCACCCCACTGGGGATGGAATTTACCTTCTGTGACTTCCGGGACCTCGATGTGATCAAGAAGGCCATGAAGCCGAACACGAAGCTGGTTTTCAGCGAGACTCCGGCGAACCCAGTGCTGTCCCTGTGCGACCTCGACGAGATCTCGAAGATCGCAAAGGCGGGGGGCGCCAAGCACGTCGTGGACGCCACTTTCGCGACCCCTGTCATGTGCAGGCCTTTGGACCACGGCGCAGACATGGTGATCCAGAGCCTGACCAAGTATTACGAGGGCCACAACATTATGACCGGGGGCGCCGTCATCTCAAAGGACAAGGAGATGGCAGACAAGGTCAAGTGGGTCCAGAACGTCCATGGCAACATCATCAACCCGTTCGCTGCGTTCATCATATTGCAAACCACCAAGACGATGGCAGTCCGCGTGAAGCAGCAGAGCGAGACGGCGATGGCGATCGCCACTTTCCTGGAGCAACACCCCAAGGTCACCAAGGTCGTCTACCCTGGGCTGGCTTCTCATCCCCAGAAGGCCCTCGCTGACAAATACCACAGGGACGGTATCCACGGAGGCATGCTGTGGTTCGACGTGCAGGGCGGATCCGAGGCGGCGATTAAGCTCATGGATTCGATCAAGAGGCCGTGGAGCCTTTGCGAGAACTTGGGAGCGACGGAGAGCATCATCACCGCGTGTGCCGTGATGACTCACGCCAACATGCTGAAGGAAGACCGCCTCAAAGTTGGCATTACCGATGGCTTCATTCGAGTATCTTGTGGTATCGAAGACACCGGTGATCTCATCGATGCTCTGAAGGATGCCTTGGCAGCGTGCTGACCTCACTTGAACCGCACGTGCCTCTAGGGCAAAATTCGTGTGGTGTTTTAACTCTCTGCCGAGGGTCGATATTCACCAGTAGTTCTCAAGTTTTCATTTGAATTTTGGTCCCATCTGTGCCGCGACGTGTTGGTGCTGGATGGGGGCTGGTGGAGCGGTCAGCTAGAATTGGGGACCTCTTTGGGCGTGCAGCACGCTCGCTCCTGCGCGCACGCGTACGCGCACGCACGGGCGCACGAGCAGACGAGTTGGCATACGATACGGCGTGCAGTATTAGTACTATCCACTTCCTTCAGGTCACATCGTTTTCAGCATGTGGCTGTACTTGTCGAGTACGAGTGGCAAAGAACAAACTCGATATGCGTAGCAGCAGGTTCCTAGTAATCGTAGTGTGGCGTGTTCGCTTATCTAGCAGGTACACTTGTGTTCGTCCAGCTTTAGGCGCTTGTCCATCATCAGTTGTCTGCTTGGAGCTTTCCTCTGACTTGCCTGCGGATGCATCTAAGACGCCTGCGGCGAACCACCGCAGCCTCCTGCTTTCGGAAGCGCTTATGTGGCCAGACGTTAGGACGACGTCTTGCCAAGCTGGTGGGCTAAGTGCTTCCCCCAACCGTGGTGCAAACCCTTCGAGAACATATGAGAGAGGAATACATATATATATATATATATATATATATAGAGAGAGAGAGAGAGAGAGAGAGAGAGAGAGAGGGAGCCTTTTACAACGTGTCGGGGGTGGAGCGGTGCCAGCGGGGGCCACGCAACCTGGGGCTAGCACATCCACTTCGATTTCTCAAAGGGCAAAACGGGATGGGGGTTCGAAAACGGGATGGGGGTTCGATTTTCCAAAGGCAAGACACTTTGAACCAGGTTCGAAAGTCGATTCAGAACAGTCAAGTCGGCTCGAAACAATGGTAGCGTGAGCATTTAGTGCGGGAGTTCCTCGAACATATGGCTTGAGCCTGGCTTGAAATCGATTCCAAACAAAACAATAGGAACGCGAGCCTTCCGTGCGGGAATTACTCAAAACGACGACTTTGCACTTGGCTCGAAGTCGGTTCCAAACAATAGGAATCCGAGCGTTTTGTGCTGGATTTTCTCGAGAAGAGGCTTTGAGATCTGGTTCGAAGTCGGTTCGAGACGACGGGAAAGAGAGCACGTTGCACAGGACGTCCTCGAACACATGATTTGGAATTCGGTGCCAAATGAGTTCGGAACCAGTGGACGAGGAGCACCGGGATGTCACATATGTGCCAAGCTGCACTGATAATCGCGCCCAGGTAAGTGCAAGAGCTGTTTGGGGGACATATACATACAGTGCCGTTTTTAATACATGCTCCGCGTGCGGATCATGTGTTAAGAATGCAGGGATCTAGCATTTGAAACAACGATGAGTTCATGCATAAATTTATTCATACATTGCTCATGTATTAAAATCCTATATCCAAAAATCCCATGTATTAAAGACTACCCTGTAAGATTGTTGAAAATGGTTCTGGCTTAGTAGTGGGCCAGCCCCCAGGGCCTCCCTAACACGGCCGAGGAGGCTCCCAAAACAGGGCTCCCGGGCGGGCCCATGGGAGCATCTCAAGGCGATGCTGGAAGTGTGGATTCCAACGCGGCGCTCTCGAGGCCTCTGGTAGGGTTCGCATGTGGCCCCCATATCTGGAAAAGTCGCGCGGGTGGGGAGGGCTGCGCCCACGAGTGCTGCAGAGCGCTCGGAACGTGCGGGTCTGGGCCCCTTCGGGGGCAAGTGCACTTCCCAGTGCAGACAACTCGACGGGATCAGCGGGCATTCCACTCTGTGCCTACGTCACGTTGGCGAATCGTCCTCTCTCTACTTCAGGCTGACTCTTCCGCGCCGCCTCAGCTAGAGGCTACACCTGCAGTCTGGCGGACGAAGGGTCGGCTCCAGTTCTGCGTGTTCGAGTCATCAGATGTTGCTCAAACCATTTCGGTGTGGAGCTAAACCCGCTTCAAGTCTGTTGTGAGGTGGAGATGAGGGAGCGGGTGTGGCTGTGTAGTGGCATAACAGTTTGTGATGGTGTCGAACTTCCAGGTTTCCAATCGTGTGCAGTTTTCGGCACCAGACGGGGCGCGCCTGCATTCGTAGCCTGGTCCTCGGGGCTTGACAACACTTACTTTCGGATATCCCTGTGTGGCTTGGGTTGATTCGTAGGTCTTGATTGGAAGGCTCCCCCGTATCTCTGTGCATCTTTTTTCCTCCTCCTCCTCCTTCACCGTCATTGTCATCGTTGCTCGTTGACTTTCTCTCTCTCTCTCTCTCTCTCTCTCTTTTTGTTTTCTCTATCTCTCTCTCTCTGTCTCTCTCGGCCCCTCTCGTTAACAACTACCTCTATCTTTGTCTGCTGCCGCTGCAAAGGTGCGCATGCTGAGCAAGTTTCGGCACCCGAACCTTGTGACCCTTCTGGGCTGGGGCCAGCAGGGCATGATGCACTATCGGTGAGCCCTCTCGGCAATCCACCGTGACCCCCAGGCAAGGTGGAGGAGACCTAGAATGAGGGAAGTGGGGATGGGAGGGAGGGGAGGATGAGGGAGGCGGGAGTGCGAGGGGGAGGAGACGGGTGCTGCTTGCACTGCAGGCTTGTAAGACGTTGCCTTGCGCCCGCGCGCGTGGCTCGGAGTCGGAGAAGCGCGGCAGAGGCGGGGAACAGGGGGCGGGGCATGTGCCGCGGGCGCAACCTTTTGGTGCGGCGGGTCCGCGTCCTCCTCCTCCTCCTCCTCCTCCTCCTCCTCCTCCTCCTCCCTCCTCCTCCTCCTCCTCCTCCTCCTCCTCCTCCTCCTCCTCCTCCTCCTCCCCCTCCCCCTCCCCCTTCTCTCTCTTCCTGTTGCTCCTGGTCCTCCTCCCTGTCCGCCTTCCGCGACTCGTGGGCGATGGTCGACGAGTGGCGCCGCGGCTCGACGCCCGAGCCTGTGACCAAGGGGAGGTCGGCCTTTCGCCCACGAGCCCACAACCCTGCAGCGACAGCACGGTGGTCGGCGAAGGGGCTCTTCGGAGGAGGAGGATGGAGGGGAGGAGCAACTTCGGGGTTCGGTGAGGCTCTGGGCCGCTTCTTCTCCTCCTGCTCCTCCGCCTCTCTTTCCCTGCCGCCCTCCTCGGGCTCATCAGAAGAGAATCTCGATGTCGGCATCTGGGGGAGTTCCGAACTGATCACGCGGCCCAGCCAGATTCGCTCTCTTCGAGGGGAAGGCCGATCTCGTCTACGAGTACCTTCCAGGCGGGGACCTCTTTTACCATGATCACGATGGGGAAGCCGAAGGATGATGATGACAAGTGTGCAGGAGAGAGAGAGAGAGAGAGAGAGAGAGGGAGAGATGATGAGACATATGAGCATGAGGAAGAGGAGGATGACGAGGATGTGGAGGAATGGGATTTACGATCATGACCATTGCATAAACGGCGGTGGTGATGTGACGATCATGGTGTTGATGATGAGGACGGTTACGCTGACGGCGACGACGATGACGACGACGATGACAACGGCGGCCATAATGTTATTGATTATGATGATGATCACGCGGGCGATGATGGTGATGATGACGAACTCGATCACGATCACGACGATATTGATGTTCATGATTATACTGTTGTCGATTGCCATTACGATCATGCTGAGCATGATGAAGATGCTGATGATGATAATGCCGATGCTGATGGTGATGATGATGATGATGATGATGATGATGCTGCCGCTGATGATGATGCTGTTCTCAATGATTGTGATGATGATGCTGCTGCTGATGACGAAGCTGACGCTGATGATGCTGTGGTTGTTGCTGCTGCTGCTGCTGATGATGATGATGATGATGATGGTGATGGTGATGGTGATGGTGATGATGATGATGATGATGATGATGATGATGATGATGATGATGATGATGATGATGATGATGATGATGATGATGATGATGATGATGATGATGACTATGATAATGCTCACTCTGATGCTGGTGACGATGATTGTGATAGTGATGGTGACGGTGATGCTAATGCGGATGTTTATGCCGTTGACGATTATGAGTGTGATTAGGGTTATGATGATGGTGACGATGGCGACGAATGTGAACGTGATTCTATTTACGAGAACGAGCATGGTTATGCTAATGATGATGGTGGTGGTGTTGGCGACGACCGCAGACGACGACTATTGTTCGAGATCAGGCCATGTCCGGCGAGCCACGGAACAGGGAGAGAGAGAGGGGAGAGACGGAGACAGAGAGAGAGAGAGAGAGCAATGAGCTTGCGGCTGTGCCCCTGCCATTGCGCGACGTGGGGCCTTTGCAAGACTTTGGGGCGTCGTGCCGTCGTGCCCTGTTGTCTTGATGGACCTTGCGGGCCTGCCTCTCAGTTTCGTGCCCTGCTTTGGGGCTGCGGGCTGGAGCTGTGCTTGCTCCCCCCCCCGGCTGTCGCCTCACCGAGGAGCTCCCGCTGCCTGTCTGCTCTGACCCGACCCGGCCTGCCCTGGCGCGGCAGGGCCAGCCGAGGGCGAGCCGCCGCGGGCCCCGTGGCAGCCTGCCGGCATGGAGCGGCGCCGCCCCTCAGCGCGCGGGAGCGCGGCGGCCGCCGGCGCGCCGCTGGCGCGCCGGCGGGCTCCTCCGCCTCGCCTTCGGGGGCGGCCCTGGCGGCCACGGCCCGCCGCGCCGCGCGGCCGCGCGGCGGCGGGGGCCCCCCCCCCGCCGGGCGCCCCGGCGCCGCCGCGGCGGGCGCGCCGCGCAGCGGCTCGCGCCGCGCGGCGGTGCGCGCGGCGCGGCCCCGCCGTAAAGCGCCACAGGGGGCCGAGGCTCAGCGGGCGGCGCGGCGAGGGCGGCTGGGCCTCGAGGTGCGCCGCCGCCGCCTGGCACGGCGCGCGCCCCCCCCCCCCCCGGGCGGCGTGAGGCGAGCGGCAGGGCGCCTCCGCGCCCCGCGCGGTGCCCACCCACCACAGGTCACCGAGCGGGTGCCCACCACTCGCAGAGTGCCCGTTCGCAAGCGTGGGAAGAACACATGTCCGCTCTGGTGTGATTCGTCGTAGCTCCTCCGCGGGGGGATCCAGGCCATGTGCGGGTAGTTACTTTGCGAGTAGTGGAGCGCGCTCGTCGACACAGGGTGCGCAGCTGGGGCCGCCCCGCGAGCGTCAGGTCGGGCGTGTCCTCCTACAGGCGGATGTAGGACGAAAGATAACAACTACCCCCACAAAAATTCAGAAGTCATCCCAATTGGTAAACAAACATCGTCCCCAGACTATTTTTGTTCGTGTGGGGAGACATGCCCGACTCAACGCGAGCGGCGTCGAGCGCCTGATGCAGTCTGCGCTGCTCATGTGCCATCTGCTCCAGGTGCCGACAGCGGGCGGCGCGGCCCTGCGGCAGATTGCCTGAGGATGGAGAGACGGCGCGACGACGAGGATGATCTTGATGGGGGTGGTGGTGGTGCTGCTGCTGATGATGCTGATGACGATGATGCGGACGAGTAGGAGTAGGAGTAGGCGTAGGCGTAGGAGTAGGAGTAGGAGTAGGAGTAGGAGTAGGAGTAGGAGTAGTAGGAGATAAGTTAGCCAGATCGAGCGAGGCAGAGAGCCCCGCCTACTCCCACCCTCCCCCCCCCAGCATGATACACAATTGTGGCACACTCTGACATTCGGATTGGAACGCGCTCCCACCTCGTCAACGTAAGGCTCTCGTGCGCGGCCCCGCTTCTGACGATCTGGCGAAGAGAAGGCTGCGCGGGCCGCGCAGGGGCGGGAGCGGCAAGACCTCCGGTGGGCGCGGTGACGACGGAGCGTGCGCCGTGGTGACGCAGCACTGCCGTTTGACCTTCCGTCCGCTCGCGCGTCGGAGAAGTTGCGTGCGACAGTTTCGCGCCGCGCTTGAGCGGGAGTTCGTGCTTCTAGAGGAGCGAACGCGGCGCCGATGCGGGAGCGACGCTTCGGCCTTGCGCGCTGGACGTGCGCCCCGTCCCAGTGCCGCCACGCCTTGTGCACATGGGCGTCGTAATGCTTAGGACGAGACGAGTCTCATTGGTTTTGTATTGCTTTTCCCGACAGGTATGGTGCGCATTCCAGATGTGGCCCCTATCGGCCGGTTAGGTGGCAGACAGGGGGTATGGGCGAATTCGGAGGAGCAAGGAGAGGGCGAGGGCCTTCCCGCCTTCATCTCAATTCGTCTTCATTCTGCACCGCACTTTGTCCTGACCTCGCGGTCATCCCTCTTCCTGTCCCTGCTCACCCCCATTCTTCCTCCTTGGGCGGAGGGGGCGGGGGAAAGGGAGGGGGAGGAGGATGGGGAGGAGGATGAGGAGGAGGAGGAAGAGGAGGAGGAGGAGGAGGACCAGTGTAAACCCAATATCCGTCAACGACGTAGACATACACCCTCCCTCCAAGATCCTTTGTTGTCAGAGGCCCCATACAAGGGCTCATTTCCATCGAGGGCATTGCACCGTTGGGGGACAACCGTGTGAACATCTTGAAGCGTGCCAGCACACCGTTCTCAGGACGTCAGCGCCACGAGTTAACCTGACTGGTACGTCTTGGCGATCCAGAGTCGTGCCAGAACTCCATTCCTGGGACTCCAACGCCGCGAGTCAACGTAACGGCAGCGCCTTGACAGTCCTGCATCGCTCCAAAGCATTATTCCTGGTACGTTAACCATGAGAACCAGTGGAACTCATGCAAATGTTTGGAATGAATTTGCGCGCCGCTAAGGTGAGAGCCACGTTTTGAAAACGAACCGCCATCAATCCATGAAGCTCTTTAGAACGAATGCGCGCGGCGCCAAGGCGAGAACCACATTTTGAAAACGACCCACCCTCAATCCGTAAAGCTCTTGCATTTTTCAACGAATGTGCGCGGCGCTACGGCGAGAGCCACATTTTGAAAACGAACCGCCCTCAACCCGTGAAGCGCTGGCATAAGAAAAAAACGAATGTGCGCGGCGCCAAGGCGAGAGCCACATTTTGGAAACATGACTCGTTTTCAATCGGTGAGTACATCCCCAGGACGAAAGTTTTTTCCTCTTGGGCCCGGAACGAAGGTTTGAAGTCTGAAGCAAAGGCGTGTGAGATACCCGCCGTCGGATCCAATGAAGGTCGCGCGGATCCAATTTTGGTTTTGGTGTGTGTTTCGGTGGATCCAATTTCTGCCCGCGCGGATCCGATTTCGGATTTGCTGGATCCGTGTTCGGTCTTATTTTTCACGGCGGATCCGATTTCTACCCTGTTTTAAAATTATATTATTAAATTAAAACAGGGAACCGGAAGAAATCGGATCCGCGGACCCCGCAAACCGCCCGTGTTAAGATTCTACGGGGGATGGGGGTTCGGTAATTAACTCTCCACGATGGGCGTTGCGTCGTCTCGCGCACACCCATCAGCTCCCCGCGCGCGCGGGTCCCATTCGAAATGGATACATACATCCCTCTCACCCCGGTTGCTGCAAACAGCTCGTCTGGTCGCCGTCCGTTCTGGCGCCGACGTTGTCTTGTGAACTCATGGCCATTTGCACGTCAAGAGGAAAATCTTTCGTCCTGCGTAAGTGCGGTTCGGCCCCGCGTCTCCTGACCCAACGGACGGCCTCTGCGCTCTCTCCCGCGACGAGGCGGCCAACCAACGCGTCCGAAGGCCAAAACGCTCATCCCCAGGACGAAAGTTTTTTCCTCTTGGGCCCGGAACGAAGGTTTGAAGTCTGAAGCAAAGGCGTGTGAGATACCCGCCGTCGGATCCAATGAAGGTCGCGCGGATCCAATTTTGGTTTTGGTGTGTGTTTCGGTGGATCCAATTTCTGCCCGCGCGGATCCGATTTCGGATTTGCTGGATCCGTGTTCGGTCTTATTTTTCACGGCGGATCCGATTTCTACCCTGTTTTAAAATTATATTATTAAATTAAAACAGGGAGCCGGAAGAAATCGGATCCGCGGACCCCGCAAACCGCCCGTGTTAAGATTCTACGGGGGATGGGGGTTCGGTAATTAACTCTCCACGATGGGCGTTGCGTCGTCTCGCGCACACCCATCAGCTCCCCGCGCGCGCGGGTCCCATTCGAAATTGATACATACATCCCTCTCACCCCGGTTGCTGCAAACAGCTCGTCTGGTCGCCGTCCGTTCTGGCGCCGACGTTGTCTTGTGTCCTCATGGCCATTTGCACGTCAAGAGGAAAATCTTTCGTCCTGCGTAAGTATCTTCCAAATTTTAACGAATGTGCGCGCCGCTTGTTAGAGAGCGACATTTTGGAGACAAACACCCGCCCTCAACCCGTGAAGCTCCTCCAAATTTTGAACACATATGTGCGCGGCTCGAAGGCGAGAGCCACATTTTGAAAACCACCCGCCCTGAATCCGTGAAGTTTGAAAACGACCCGCCCTCCATGTGTGAAACTGTTGCCATTTTTTGCATCAGGGTCATAAGTGCTGAGGGCGTCTCAGGCGAAACGCCCGGCCCGCCCTTTCGACCGGCTTCGGGGTACGACAGCGAGGATTTTTCTATAAGGAAAGGAATGGAGGAGGGTGAGGAGAAGGAGGAGGAAGAGGAGGACGAGCAGGAGGAGGAGGAGGAGGAGGAGGAAAAAAACGGGGTGGGGCGGAGGGAGAGGATGATGATGATCTGGGGGAGGACGAGCAGGAGGACCACGTATACTCCTCTGAACTTCACCTTTCGGTTCGACACCAACGATTCCACCACTCCTTCTCTTTCCGCTCGCTCCTCGAGGAAGTTCGGCGATGATGAGGATACGGAACACTTTCGAACATGTACAACCAGCATATTTGAAAACTCTTGAGCATCCTCCTCCTACTCCTTCTCTTTCTTCTTATTATTTTGAGTGTTTCCTTTTTTGTCTGCTTTTTCTTCTTTGTATTATTATTATTATCATTATTATTATTTTTTTTATTATTATTACTATGATTATTATTATTATCATTACTATTATTATTATTAGTATTATTATAGTTATTATTATTATTATCATTATTATTATTACTATTATTATTATTAATATTATTATTAGTATTATTAATAAATATTCCTTTTTCTCATTCTTCTTCGTCTTTTTTTTCTTCCTGAGCGACGACGCGGCGACCTCTTCAAGAGTTGCGGTTCCTCCGAGATCGCCCCCCCCCGCCCCCCCCAGACCTGTCCCGGAAAGCGCGCCCTGAGCACAGCTTCGAGGTGACCCCAGCCGCAAAAGGTCAACCCCAGGAGGCCCGAAGCGCCCCCCCCCCCCCCCCCCGAACGTCTGAAACCTTCGATCCCTCCTCTCCTCCTCCTCCTCCTCCTCCTCCTCCTCCTCCTCCTCCTCGCCCCCCTCCTTCTCCTCCTCCTCCTCCTCCTCCTCCTCCTCCTCCTCATCCTCCTCCTCCTCATCTTCGGTCCTCGATCCCTCCTCTCCCCGCCGCCTGCGAGCGAGGGGAGAGGCTGGGCGGGCGCTCCTCGTCTCGGCCACGGCGGCGGCGGCGACGCACGCCGGCGCCCGCGGCACCGCGGCGACGGCGAGGAGCGGCGCCCCGCGGGCGGCGCGGGGCCGAGCGCGCCCCCGAGGCGGCGACCTCTTCCAGCGGCTCTACAAGAGCAAGCTCGCGCGGGGCGCGCGCACGCCCGGCGCCCGGCGGCGGGCCGCCCCCCCCCCCCCTCCCAGCTCCCTGCCAGGCCGGCGGCAGGAGGCGGAGGGCCACATGCGAACCCTGCCCCATACCCCCCAACGATTTCTGAGGGGGAGGGGGGGGTTCACTTCGTTCGGGAGCTCCCGAGCGAAGTGAACCCCACCCTGCCCCTCAGAAATCGTGGGGGGTATGGGGTAGGGTTCGCATGTGGACCCCTGAGGAGGCGGAGGGCGGAGGGCTGTGCGTGTGTGCGCAGAAGTTCGTCCGGGAGGTGGGTGGTGTCCGTCGAGGCGGAGGTGTGCGGGGGCTCCTCCTCTCCTCCTCCCCCTCCTCCTCCTCGTCCTCCTCCTCCTTCTCATCCTCCTCGCCTCCTCCGAGGAGCCCCCCGCCACGCCGGCCGCCCAGGTGGGGTGGGCAGGGACCCTCCTTCTACGGCCGTGTCCTCCTCCATCCAGGATGGCGTGGAGGAGGTGGGACGAGGCATCCCTCCTGCCCGCGATGGGAGCTCGGAGTCTGAGCGACGACTCTGAATGAGGTGTGGTGCAGCGTCGGCCGTTCGGGGAGTGCCCAGACGTTTTGAGGTCCGAGGTCCGCGAGGTGGTGTGGAGGGTGGGGGGGCTGGGGGAGGCAGGGGGGGGGAGGGAAAGGCGGGGGGAAAGGGGATGTGGTGGTGCTGCGGATGCTGATGCTGATGCCGATGCGGATAATGAGGATACTGATGATGATGCTGCTGATGATGCGGCTACTGCTGCCGACGACGATGGCGCTGACGATGAGGATGACGATGACGATGACGATGATGATGATGTGGAGGATGATGAGGATGATGAGGATGATGAGGATGATGAGTATGATGGTGCTGATGATTATGATGCTGCTGCTGCTGATGATTGTGGTGATTATTATGAGCGTGCTGCTGCTTGTGATGAACCAGACATACTGTTGTAATTGTTGTCGTAGTTGGTGTCGATGTCGTTGTTGCTGCTGTTGTTGTTGTTGATGATGATGATGATGTCGTTGTCGTTGGCTTTGTTGTTGCTGCTGTTGTTGCTGTCGCTGTTGTTGCTGTTGCTGTTGCTGTTGCTGCTGTTGTTGTTGCTGCTGCTGTTGTTGCTGCCTTTGAATTTTCATTTTCAAAGAAGAAGTATTGTAGATCCCCCTGGGGTAACCGTTGCATTTTTTGATTGAAGTGCTTCTCACGGGGCTCGCGCCTTGTTTTTTCACAAGGGAAAATGAGGTGTCGCCAACCTGTGTTGTTGGGCCTCGCTTCACAATGACAGCGACGCCCCTCTCCTCACCATTTATTCCCAAATCGCGCTCTCGCGCGGGACGTCCTCACAATTTATGCAGGAATCGCGCTTTCGCATTGGATTTCTCTACAATTCATACAGGCGCCGCGGCCTCGACACGCAGGAATCACGCTCTCGCGGTGGATTTCCTCATGATTTCTTTGGGAATCGTGCCGTCGCTCGAGACTTCCTCGCGATCCAAGCAGGACGTGCGCTTCAGCAACCCGCCTGCCCCTTGTCCCTTCCATCCGTCCCCTCTTCTGCTGCCTTAGGGGCTGCGCGAAATACGCGTAGCAGGTAAGAAGGATATGCCCCGCAGGCCCTAAGGGGGTACGATCGAAGACAAAGAGGACGGGTATTGATGGATTGGGATAGACATTTGAATTGCCCACAAGCAGATAAGAACGAACATGATTGGTATGATTGTTGTTGCTGTTGTTGCTGTTGCTGTTGCTGTTGTTGCTGATGTTGCTGTTGTTGTTGGTGGTGGTGGTGTTTTTGTTTCCCTTGTTGATGACTGTGTGCAGCTTGGCGATGACGATGACGACGGCGATGACGACCGTGGTGTTTTTACGGCGATGTCGCTGATGATTCTTATGGTGGCCATGACGATGATGACGACGAGATTGATTATGCTGATGATGATGATGGTGCTGCTGATGATAATGCTGATGCTGATGCTGATGATGTTGATGATGATACTGATGATGAAGATTATGATGATGATGCTGATGCTTATGATGATGCTGCTGCTGATGCTGATGATGCTGATGATGATGCTGTCGTTTAGTATTGGTGGTTGGTGGTGGTAGTGATGATGATGATGATGATGATGATGCTGAGGATGATGATGATGATGATGCTGCTGATGATGATGATGATGATGATGATGATGATGATGATGATGATGATGATGATGATGATGATTATGATGGATTCTTCACGCTTCGCGTATCCCCACCAACCCATTCATAAACCGTGCCCATGAGAGCTGGCCGGAACAAGGGACGAAGAGACACATGTAGTGAAACAGAGCGGGCAATTGGGGTTAACGAAGAATGGAGATGGCTTTGGAGGGCTTTTTCGGGCCATCCTTGGGGCCCGCGCGGGGGCGAAGGAAGGAGCAGGAGGAGGAGGAGGCGGAGGAAGAGAATGACGACGACCACGACGACGAGGAAGAGGAGGACAGGGAAAAGGAAGACGATGAGGGCAAGGACGAGAATGAGGACGAATATGTGGAGGAGAAGGACAACGAGGACGAAGACAGAGCCCTCAAAATCGCCAGTTGGAGTCCTCCTGTGATTCTTTTGGGTGATCGTTGGGTCCTTTTGGGGCCCTCTTGGGGGGTCTTGGGGGGCCTCCTGGAGGCCTTTTGGGGGTTACCTTGGGGCTCTCTTGGGAGCCCTGGAGGCCCTCTTGAGGCCATCTTGGAGGAGGTCGCGCAAAGAAGGTGGGAACATTAAGTCGCGCCCCCCCCCCCCCCCTCTGTGGAGCCCTCGACGTCGCCTTTTGGAGCCCTCCTGAGGCTCTCTTGGGGCGCTCTTGGTCGCTCTTGGGGCCGTCTTGAGGCCCTCTCATTCGATTTTGGGAGGATTTTGGCCTCTTGGGTGCTCTCTTGGGGATGTTCCGAGGCCATTTGGGGCCGTCCTGGGGCGGTTTTGGAGCCTCTTGGATCACGTTGGAGGTTATCTTGAGCTGTCTTGAGCCATCTTAGAGAACATCTTGGGCTCTCTGAGACGCTCTTGGGGCCATCTTGGGCCATCTTGGGCGCTCCAATGGGTCGCGGGACGTTCCATCCAGCTCCAGGGGGAGGGGGAAAGGGGGAGGGGTCGAGGTCCCCCCTTTGCCCGCAAGCAGTCTCGCTCACTCCCACCCGCCCTCCCAACACACAAGTAACCCCAGAGGGAGTCTCAGCATATTGCTTAGGAGCACCACGCATGCCATGTGCACCACGGGTTCCAGGTGCACCAGGCACCCTGGAGGCCCAAGCGAGCCAGACGCGCCAGGTGCGGCACGTGCTCCACGCTTAAGCAATACGCCGGCACCCCCGCCGTCCCTGTCAAAAACCAATGCAAAGTGGTCGTGGGCCGCCCGCATGCCAGATGTTGAGGCAAACTGTAGTCTGCAGTGTTTTCTGACAGAGATGGTTGGCCTGCGCGCAGCGAACAATATGACGGCACCCCCGGCGTCTTTATCAAAACCTAGTGCAAAGAGGTCGTGGGGCGCCCGCGCACGCTCCAGATGTGGAGGCGAAGAGCATTATGTATAGTTTGTTTGTTGTTTACGGATGGTTCGCTTGCGAACAGCGAGCAATATGATTGTACTTCTTCGGTCAAAAACCAATGCAAAGTGGTCGCGCGGGCCTGCGCATGCTCCAGATGTTAAGGTACTTTGCATTATGTATTGTTCTTTGCCAGGGATGGTTGGCTTGCGCGCAGCGAGTAATTTAACCGTGCCCCCGCCGTCCTTAACAACAACCGCTGCACCAAGATCGCCGGGCGCCCGCGCATGCTCTAGATTTGGATGCAAAGTGCATTACGTATTTTTTTCTGACAGGGATGGTGGGGGGGGTGGTTGGCATGTTTCGGGCTGGCCCACAGTCGAGTGGGGGAGGGGGTGTATATTAATAACGGGCAGTGAAGATTGGCAAATGGGAGCGAACACGCGCTAAACCACATACGCTCAAAGGGCTGGTTGAATTCTTGGCCAGAACTGAAACTTGTGCGTCTGTTGCACAGATGAGGGCGGTGGGAAGGGGGGGTGGGTGGGTGGGTGAGTGGGTGGGGGTGGGGGGGGGAGGCGGTCATTTTTTCAAGCTGGTGGTTTCGCTGGACTCCTCGTTCAAGTTCGTTTTTATGCATTTTCACATGCCCTGGTGCTCGCCAGACGGGTTCAAGGCAATTCCTTTTCAAAACGGGCCGCTTATGGTAGTGAGAAGACGCCTTGTAGCGACTTATACGGGAATGTGTCTTGAGGCGGACGCGCGTTGCAGCATCCTTGATATATCTTGGGTTTGCGATACTGGTCACTCTCCTCCCTTCCTCCTCGTCCTCCTCTCCTTCCTCCCTCTCTATCCCTCTGTCCTCCTCCCTCTCAGCCTCCTCCGTTTCACTCGCATGAGCTGCGGTTGCGGGAAAGCTTCTTCCTCCTCTCCTTTCCTCCGCCTCTTCCTCCTCCTTCCCTCTTCTGTCCCTCCTCCTCCCCCTCGTCATCCTCCTTCTTCTCCTTCTTCTCTTCCTCCTTCTCCTCCTCCTCCTTTTTCTCCTCTTTTTGTTCCCCTTCTCCGTTTCCTCCTCCTCCTCCTCCTCCTCCTCCCTGGTTCCTCCTCCCTCTCTCCGTTCTCCTCGGCGCGTCCTAGGTTCTTCTGGCACGAGAGGCTGAGCATCTGCGCGGACACCGCGGCGGGGATATCGCACATGCATGGCTTCGCGCCGAAGGGGTTCCACCGCGACATCAAGCCCTGCCCTCAGCAGGATGACACTGGACGTTGGGAGGAGGAGGAGGAGAAGGAGGAGGAGGGGGATGGTGATGATCACGATGACGATAGTCATGATGCTGGTACTGATGCTGCTGCTGCTGAGGATTATGGTGCTGATGGTGGTGGTGGTGGTGGATGATGTTGTTGCTGATGATAATCAGGATGACAAGGATGATGCTGATGTTGTTGATGATGATGAAGCTTAGGTATGCTGAGGATGACGATGCTGTTGACGAGGATGAAGATGCCAATGATGCTGCAGATGATGATGATGCTGATGATGATGCTGATGCTTTGCTAATGCTGCTAACGATGATGATGCTGCTTCTGATGATGATGCTGACGATGCCGATGCATACGATGATGATGCTGATGCTCGTGATGGTGATGATGACGCTGCGGCTGCTGCTGCTAATGATGATGCTGCTGATGATGTTGTTGGTGCTCTCGATGCTGATGATGATGCTGGTGAATATGGTGCCGATGTTGATGATGATGCTGATTCGGATGATGCTGCTGAGGATGACGATGATGGTGGTGATGCTGATGGTGCTGGTGATGACGATGCTGCATCTGCTGATGATGGTGATGCTGGTAACGGTGGTGGTGATGACGACGATGCCGCGGATGGTACTGATGCTACTGCTGCTTATGATGCTGCTGATGATGCTGCTGACCATGATGATGAGGATGTCGATGATGTTGCTGCTGATGATGCTGGTGTTGATGTTGATGTCGATGATGATGACGATGCTGCAGGAAATGCTGATGACGATTATGATGCTGATAGAACGGATGAGGGTGATGTTGATGTTGCTGATGATTATGATGGTCGTTGATGATGATGTTGATGCTGATACTGGTGCTGGTGATGATGACGATGATGGTGATTGTGGAGATGATGATGGTTCGGATCACGATGCTGATGCTGCTGACGATGATGTTGATGATCATGATCATGTTAATATTCACGATGATCATGATGCTGACGATACTGATGCTTTAATTAGTAGTATTATTATGATGATGCTGATGCTGCTGCTGCTGTTTAGGATGATACGGATGATGATGACGATGCGGTTGCTGATGATGATGGGCACAATGATTCTATGTTGGTGACGATGATGGCGGGGATGCTGATAGTTGTGGTGTTGATGAAGGTGGTGATGATTGTGGTGGTGATGATCTGATGCGGAGGAAGAGCAGGATGAGGAGGAGGAGGCGGAGGAGGGGGTGGAGGAGGCGGAGGATGAGGAAGTGGAGGAGGTGGAGGTGGAGGACAAAGATGATGATGAAGATGAGGAGGGTGGATGAGGAGAGCGGACCGTGAAGAGCACGGACGCTGAGGAGCACGGACCGTGAGGAGAACGGACCGTGAGGAGAACGGACCGTGATGAGAACGGACCGTGAGGAGCAGTGGGAGAGGAGCAGGAGAGCAGGAGGAGGAGGAGGAGGAGGAGGAGGAGGGAGGAGGAGGAGGAGGAGCCCGAGGAGGAGGAGGAGGAGTCGTTCGGACGAACGTTGCAACCATCAGGTGTCAGGAGGAGGAGAAGGAGGAGGAGGATGAGGAGGAGGATGACACCGTAGCCATTTTGGCTCAAGCCATTTTGGCTCAAGTGAAACATTTCTCGAGGTTGGTCCAGGGTGTCCACTCCCCGAGTGGCCCCAGAGAAGCCCCAGGACAGGGGCCTCCGCTTTTTCTCGCACTGCAGCTCTGCTGCAACATACCCAGTCTCTGCTACTGTGCCTGCCTTTCTTGTCGCTCGACACCACTGGTTGCGGCAACGGCGCGATGACAAATGCTGACCCTCGGGAAGCGGCATCGGCCGCGACGCTCGAGGCACTCGAGGCGATGCCCACCTTCCCCCAGTCGCAGGAGGTCGCCACCCCACAACGTGCTGGCCCTCTTCTCCATCATGATGTGGTGGCTCCTGATGGGCAGCCCCCACACAAACGTGCCGTTCTCCTGTCCTTTCATGGCGCCCCAGGCGGCAAGGGCTGGGGCAAAGGCCAGCACTGTAGTTCTGGAGACGCAGCTGATGACGCAGGTGCAGCTGGAAGCGTTCCTCCTTCTCCCTGGTGGCGGCGCGGGTTCCAGCCCGAGTGCAGGAGCAGATGTCAATGTTCAGCGAAGCGGCGGAGCTCCCGCCGCCCTGCCCCATTTTCACGACAATGTCTCGATCAGAGCGCATGTGGATGCTATTCAGGCGGCGCTGCAACAGTCCATCTCGGTGGTGCAGAACTGTGCGCAAACATCTCTCACAACGATATATCCAATAACACCACATCCTCCTTCCGTGACATCAACCACACGATGGAGACGCGTATCAACCGAGTGGAAAATCGAGTGGACGAACACGACAAGCGTATGGGCAATCTCGAGTCCCAGATTGCCCGTCTCCGTCAAGAGCTGCAGGTGGCACAGAGCGAAGAACCACAACCTCCCCTTCGTCCAGTGGCAGACAGCAGCTTCAGCAGGCAGATCGACCCAACCGTCGTCATCATTTGTGCACCGAAGCTGGTCACGAAGACGAGCGTGCACAATTCCCTGGCAGATTGGTTCCGCGACTGCAACATCTCTGAGAACGAGTATACCTTCGACGAGCAGGAGCCGCCGGGGACCAAGTTCACGATGTGCTTCGCGGGTTCGAGGAACCACGCCGAGCGCAAGGTCAATCAGGTTTTGGGCGCGCTTAAAGACCTCCTCCCAAGGCAACGCCCCGCCCGTGTGGCGGACCTTCCGTGCTGAATCCATCGCTGACGGCGCCATCAACATCTGCGTCGGCCCAGACAAGAACACGAAGATGGCTCGCCGTGAGCTGGGGTGCAGGAAAGTCAAAGCGGTGCTGGTCAGAGGGTTCCCACAGAGGCGTTTCTTCATGTATAAGAACAACGGTGCGATCTTGCTTGGCTGGAAACCTATTTGCGAAGTTGTCCCCGTCGAAGGCAAAGACATTCCTGACATGATGTGGGCGAAGGAAGACATGCGCTCAGGGGGCATGGACGTTCCGCCCTCGCAGCAGCTTGTCTCCGAACCGTTCGGCCCCGCATGCGAGACAGTGTAGAGCTCCTAGCATGATCAGTACCCTGTGGCATGGGCAAGCACAACGAGACGGCGCGGTCCACTTTGATATGCGAGCGGTCGCGTGGAATGCGAGGGCGCCTTTTTCACAGCGATGACACAGTGAGGGTGCGCAGAGTGAGGCTGCCGCGACGCCTGGTGCTTGATGGCAGTATAGTTGCTTTGCAAGAGACGCACGGTGCCCCGTGCGATGTCAGAGACCTCCTCTACTCCCTCCACCTCCCTCTTCATGCGCACTGGTCGGTTCATGAGGACTTCCGAACTGGGGGCGTGATCGCCGTTTTCCCTCGTTTCTTTCCCGCCGGGTCCCGCGGGGTCTTGACGGGCGGCGCCCGCCCCCTCGTCTCCTCCTCTCCTCTGATCCCTGACCGCGTACTTCAGGCCAAGATAGGGACTGTGAATGGGCAGTGCTGGATCCAGCACTTCAACATTCACAATCACCACTTGTCGGCGGGCGACAAGGCAGTTTTGTTCGGCGCGATGGCGGATGCGCTTCAGCAGGCGCCGGAGGATCCGCTAAATAGATTAGTTCTCATCGCGGGCGATCCGAACCTCTCTTCACATGAACCACTCTCTCTTAACCCCCCGAAAGGTGATTTCAATGCTTTTGCTGGCCCTCACCTCCGCCCCCTCCCCACGGTTTGGAGCCAGACGTTAACCCACGCGGTTGAATTTGAGCTTCTCACCCCCCCCCCCCCCCCCCCGCTCATTTCAACAGCCAAAGCTCGTCGTTGAGCTTTCTTGATCGGATCTTAAATTCGTTGCCAGGCTGGATTCTCTCGCAATGCGCGTCAGGGGGGGGGGGGGTCGCGGAGCGCCCCGAGGTGCTGGGCGCGCAGGGTCTCGCCGACCATGCCCCCGTCGTCGCTCACATTCGGGCGCGCCCGCCCAGACCTGCAGGGGGCAGACCGATCCCCCAGGAGCTGTCTGCCTCCGCTCCGCGCATGCACTTCGCGGGCTGCGCGGCGCACGCTGCCCCCCTTGGGGCCCCAGGGGTCCCCATTTGGGGCCCTCTCGGGGTGCGCCCCTGGCCCCGGAGGAGGAGGAGGAGCTAGGAGGAGGAGGAGGAGGAGGAGGAGGAGGAGGACGAGGAGGAGCAGGAGGAGCAGGAGCATGAGGAAGCATGGGTCAAAGTGTGGCCTCTGCACAGCGGCCCCCGCTTCTCCCTCCTCGGAGACCACGCCCCCTCTTGCTCACGAGTGCTACAAAGCCCTGATGGCGGAGGCGGCCCGTTCCGCCAGAGACCAGCTCATCCAGAAACCTACCTCGCGCTCACCTCTCCCGATTTCGGGTGGTCCGAGGAATGGTTCGTGCTTTGTTCCGCCAGGGCTGGATCTTGGCTCGGCGTCTTTTCAGTCGCGCCCGCTGTGCAGAGAGCGCCTCGTCTTGGACCTTGACTCGCACTCCATCTCCCTCCGCAGCCCTGTCCTCTTCACGACCCTCTCCAACGAGCTCCGCCTCAAGGCGGCCCAGGCGACGCGGCGCATTTTGCAGGCCAGTGCTCAGCGGCGGCGGCGCCCGTCTGCGATCGCCCGGGTCTCGGCCCGCGCTCGCAGGCTTAATCGTCTCTCGAAGCTGTGGTCTCCCGTCGATCGACGTCTCACGCTCGCGGGAGTTCGCGCCGGCGGAGGTGGCACTGTACAGGCGCCGTCCGCGATCCTTACAACTTTGGCTCAGCATTGGGCCCCGATCTTTACTGCTAAGGAGTGCCGCCAAGAGGAAGCTGAAGCATTCTTAGACATATTCCCCCCAGCTTAACTGCGAAGCCATCCCTCCGCCTACCCTCCAGCACATCCAGAGACATCTCGAAGCTCAGACCCG